ACATGTTTGTTCTATGGTATCATATAATTATATCTTATAGTTACGATTAGCCTAGATTCGTCAATTTTCCAGACTATAATTTAGATCATGGAACGCATAGTTAACGAAACACCGAATTTACCTCATTTAATGGAATTATCTGCTCCCTGAATATATTTCGAGTAATTCTTCCGAATTTTATCAAATTAATTCTCGCGTAATTTTGAAGTAATAGAAGACATTACGTCCTTTATATTTTTCGGAAAAAAAGAAGCATGGTACATCCTAGGAATAATGCTATATCCACTGTCGCTTAATTCGACAGCACTGAGTGCGTAGATATCTTAACGTACTAAAATACGTGTGCTGGTCCAGTTTAGTAAAATAGAGAAAGATACATAGTGAAATGACAATGACTTTCTAGGGAAGTCAAAAACTGAAATCTCTATCGAATATTTTTGTACTCGGAATGAATAAAGTAGAAAGTAAAGCAAAAGAAGCATCGAAAGAATTGACGAATCGGTTACTGTAAATTGCAATCGGTAGTCGATAAATATGGAAAGAAATTCGAATTTTCGCCATGTATGGGAAAATTTAAGGATGCGTGCCTGCTACGGACAGTCTTCAAATGGTTGTTCCGTTCAATCGTAATCACTTCCGGGATGCTTGGTAAGTGACAGAGTCGAATAGGAAAAGGGTCTGCAATTGGTAATCGATATGTAAGGAGTTTTTGAAAAGTATGGGATTACCGATTGCAAACAGTTATCCCTTTCCACTTTATGAATTTCCATGCATCCCGGAAATTATTACGATTGACCTAGTAGCGAACGAACAAAAAAAATAAAAATAATAAATCGAAACTTTTTAACTTTTCTGTCGACTGTCGATCTGAAATTAGTTATTTCACATGAGGGGAAAAATAATATTGAAACTGTCAGGAAATCATCGATAACAAGAAGATATGATATACAGTTGCCATTACGGTGTGAGATGCGTTAATAAAGCCGAAATAATTCGCATCGCGACGACCGTTCTAAACGATACCGAAAACCCACTGGGAATCCTGAGTGCCAAGTTTCTTTATTGTGGTTGGTTTGTCTTGACGTATCGTTCAATTTCTCGACTTCTTCCTTTAAGCATCCCTCAAATATCTTTTATCTTTGTTTTCTTCTTGCATAACGTCCCTCTCCCTCCGCTCTTTATCGTCATCCATGCTCTCTACAAAATTTCGAATTTATATTTCGTCAAATGTCACGTTCACCGATGATAGTGAAAACAAAAAAGTGACAAATTTATTTTTTTTTTTCATCAAAACATTATCTCTTTGTGAAACTAATTTAACCATTTGAGTTGGCAACGAATTGAAAGATCCACGTGAAAAAAACGCTACAAAAACAAAAACATTTGGACGTGCATAGCACGTCTTTCGAATGCAAGTGGTTAATAATAATGATAATAATAATAGGGCCTTTATTCTTTATATGTTACATAAAAGGAGTAAAAATCAGCTACATATGTAACTGCTTTGCATTCTGACCTTCACAGAGCATAGTTAGACCTGTCCTTATCTTAGCTTACGTGTAACATTTAGCTTTTTAACAATTTCTCAACTTTGTTCCTGAACGAGTGTGGAAGTGTACTGTATTAATTTGGTAATAATATCATACCGCAACAAACGAGAATTTGCCTCTAAACTTGACGGCTGGTACGTGCGTACGTGCTGGTATCATCGATAAATTGCTTGTTCTTGTCTGTAATAACAGATTTAAGGAAATTCTAAGAATTGTATTTGTTTCCCCTATATAAAGACTAAAGGAATCAGACGAGGATTAGTAAGACGCTATTAGACGCTACAAGACGTACACCAACATAACCCCGAGCCCAGATTTCGAAGAAAAGGGGAGACCTAATCTGCAGCAACGATCAGGATACAGTTGGCTCAAGGTATAATTTTAGTTCGATATCGATATTGATTTCTCGATTTGGCCGCGTAAGCCCGTTAGCCCGAAAAATCAATTTATAGAGCTATTTCTTTTTTCCGCTCGTACGAATCGTCCAAGCGTTATAGGAACGAACGAGCGTATATAGAGAGCAGTGAGCATATATGAACGACGTCAGTGAGTAAGCGAGTGAACGAAGAAGTAAGTGCGGGAAGGAGGAAGATAATCCCAATAGTAATATTTCTATTCGTACGGTGTCCGCACGGTGCTCAGCTCCAAGGTACCACTCTCCCTTTTATTCTGGCTATCTCTTATCTCTTCATCCCATCCTCGTTTCTGCTTTCAGCTTGAGATAGGGCTAACATAATTTTCCGAGATAGTACCCTCTACTTCCTTCCGTCTTCTTTCACGCTCGTTTCGCGACTCTTTTTATTTCGCCCGTTGAAAGCGAGGGTTCGCGTAAGTCAGCCGTGGGGCTTCGGGCTGCAAATAGAGAGCAGTTTCTCTGATTGTTCTATTCGAGTGAAAAAAAATATCAACAATTTTTTTTCATTTGCTATTTCTTTTCTTTTCTTTTCAAACATATATAAAATTCCATCATTTCTTTTCTTCAATATTTTTCCTCTTTCCATTTTCTCTTTGTACGTTTCCACGCCTCCCCGCGATACGCGAACCGGACATGTGTCTGTCATTGAGAGATCTCCTTTTACTCTCTCTCTCTGCATCCATTTCTGGTTTATCGATACTCATCGCTGATGATAGGGTTAGTAGTGGCAAGCAGACAGACGAGACGTACAGACGTGGGAGGTAGACAGGAAGGTTTATCGGAAAATGATATCAGCACAGACACACAGCTACAAGGAAGACCAGCTAAAACTTTTATACCAGTAATGACTGCCTTCGTAAAATAAGCTGAAAAGCAGCGGCTAACCGGGGTCTAAGGTACGTGTACCAGGAGATGCCAGGACATCGGAACCGAAGGATAGCAAGGCTATAGTAAAAGGTTCTCCTGGATCCTGTCTTGTATACGTATACATACTACCATACCTTTACCCTGGAACACAGATCCGCCCCAATACTGTCCTTGAGTTCTTGACACTTTTTTCTCCCTTTTTCACGAAGTCGCCAGCCATGCTGTGATTGTGCTGGAGTCGGCCCGCTCTGCCGACATGGAAAAGCCATTCCTTTATAAAGAGCTCTGAACCGTAGCTACCCCGCAACCACGAATTCCATCCAGAGCCCGCATCGATTCTAACTTGAACATCTGTATGATTCCTTAGTGATATTCGGCAAATCGAACAAATAGACGAACGAGTACTTTCGTCTTGGTCTTCGGTGAGTATCCGTGTTATGTCATTTCGGCACCTGCTGCTGGTATAGAAAAAACTGCCGGCACTTTTCTTATTTAAAATGTTTCCTTTCGAAATAGCATGGTATAAGACCCTTTTGACTGGTGAGAAAATCATTAGGTAACAATATCCAGTTTCTATTGGCTGAAGAGTTGGTAGGCAGGGAATCGAAAAATCCCATGTGATTTTGGCAACGAAACTCGACCTAACCTAACATGGAAACATCCGTTGACTCTATACAAAATTCATAATCGCTCGGCGTTACAATGTTTGCCGGAATGACGGAGGTGTGGAGTGGACTGGGATGCATAAAGAGGGTTGGGTACCAGCAACTCCAAGGATGGGAAATGTGACTCCAAACAGCAGGGGGCTGTAATGGATCGCCCTGGGCGGCACCACAGCTATAAGCTACACTCGTACTTTACACCGCGCTGTGGTATATTTACCGAGCGCGAAACCGGATATGCGATTTTTTCGAAAGTCATCCCTTACGATACAAATTTCAGCCTACGGCTGTCTCGTCTGTCGACGTTATAATTATACATAAATGAAATATCTCTAAGCAATATAAATATAATATAACACCCCGAGTAAAAGAAAAATTAGGTACGCGGTAGATCTGCGATCGATCACTCAAAAGTGTCCCTGAAAGTATAGCCAGTAGTACATTTTTCTTTGAAACTCGATATATTAGCAATTTCGACGATACGTGCGACGGAAAAAAAATTGTGGAAAAGGAGAGCTACGAAAAATTCAGCAATTTCGCTAGTCGCAGCATCGTCCGTTTACGAGTATGTAATACATGGTGAATGTCGAGAAAATCGCATACAGAAAGAAAAGCGAACGAATTACATAGACTTTTGCGATGGCGGAGATTCTTTCCCACATTGATCGAAAACCATGTACAGTGCAGTGCACTCCTATATATGTGTATAACGGAATGCAAGAAAAACTTGTACCCGCCGCATGCGCAAGTCCTGGCGATGCTGCTTTTCCATCTGTCTGTCTGTTCGTTCGTCGCTGTATCCGCTCGTTTCTTCACGGATTGTCGCTCTCGCAGGGAGACAACTCGATCTGCTGTCATGCCGGTGACTGCTGAGAGCCGTAACAAGAATTTACTACATCTCGGCCATGTACCATCATAGATATATTTCTTCTTAAATGTATATCTCGAAAAAACGATACAGTCAATTGGAGAATATTTTCTACGTGCTGGAATCAAAGGAAGGATATTTCAAATTGGATATAAGCTTTTATACGTTAAAAGAGATTCACGTACAATCTATATACAAGGGGTTTTGCCTATCTTGTATTTGTTTATTTCCAAAAAAGATCCTTGATTAACAGTTTCGAAAGTACTGAAGTACGATTGAAATAGAGAATAGCAAACATATAAAGCACCGCATACGTATATGAATAGACAGATCAAAGTTGGAATGAAAGCAGCTGTAATAAAGTTAAGCTTATTCAGTGATTCGTCGATTTCATATTTACGTATACGTACAGGTTGGTGTACGTGCAAAAATAATTGATAGGCTTATTCTGGCCGAATACACCAATCGATGGTAAACCAGTTCCATTGGTCTCTATGGTAAAACCAATTCATATTTGTACAGTTGTACTGAAACACACTGTACGTGCAATATAGCAAACGAATGAAATTACTGTCGGCAAAAGTGATATCGTGCTTCTTTGTTTTCAATATTTTTATTACTTTCATATTACACAGAAAGTATTTTTACATCAGTATAATGCAAAACAATGCACTTCGTACATTAAATATTTCATTAGATTTCCATTGTGTAGCTTTTATAAATGAATGAAAATTGTTGAAATGTCCTTGCTCGAGCAGGCGTAAGTCATACGTTAATCTGTCCTCGGCCTTCTTCTGCGCAATTTTCAAACAGTTAATTTGACGACTCTTACAACGCTCGAACGTCATTTACCGCACGTGTTAATCGAAGCGTGCACGTGGCAACCGATGCGTAGAAAATTTGACAGGAAAATCAAGTTTGACGTGCGGTTGCACCCCGACAACACGTTAACCCGATTACTCGTAATTGCTCGTAAATTCGTCCACGAAGGGTTTGCCAAATCCATCGACTTTTCATTTCCCGAAAAGTCGTCGTTATCAAACGGCATATCTGGTCGGAATATTTGCCGTCGCGTTTTCCTGTCATGTTGTCCCCCACCCCTTTTGTCGGCATCCCACGAAAGAGACGGTATGGATGTTAAAATATTTCATCTTTTTTTACCCTCCCTCAGATCACACCGACATGTACCCGTCACCGAACATCGTTCAATATTTACGTTTACACTTACTTATATATGCGTGCAGCGCTACGGTCAATATTGGCTTTGTCCATTGAATAGTGGAATCGAGTCATTCCCAGTTTCCACATTTCCATCAAGTTCGTATTACAAGAGAAAAAAAATAGAATGGGAATTTTTCGCTACAGCCGTTATTATCAGACAATTCAATATACACTGTTATTAAAAAATAAAAATAATCAATTATATTTTACGGTATATAACCTACTTCGTAAGCTTATCTAAGTTATTTTCTATCGAATCAGGTTATCTTTTTGAAAAATTCTCTACTATCACGACACTGTCCTTTGGTCCACCAATCCTTCAACCCCACTATAACTTCAGGGGAAGACATCTCGTTCCTATGTAGCATCTCGCACATTCTGCAAAGGGTCGAATCGTGTCCGAGGTCAACCTCGTAAAATTCCTTCCACCAGAAGTACTTCTCGTACTCGATGTCATTGCTCCTAAGGTCTAGTAGGTGTCGTGCAAGGTGCCTTGGCGATTCGTAATCCGCGACGTTTATGTAAGATCGCGGCGGCACGAACTTGCTGTAATTCGCAGCGCCGAACACTATTGGCACCAAATTATACCTCATGACCTTGTAGAGCTTTTCGGTCACGTAATCCTCGCAAAGGGAATTCTCGAAGGAGAGATAGAAGTGGTACCTCGATTCCAGCATCTCGTAACACCTGTCGTCATTTGACTGACACTTACCAGCTCCACAATTACCGTAGACGTCAACATCGACGTATCTTTGTAGTTCAGCAACGTAACGTTCACGATCGCTCACTGTATTACAATGCGAAACGAACCAGGCAGCAGTGCGCACTTTGCAATTATCTGGAGACTTCTTTGACACTGACAAATTAAATTGTACAAATTATTATCAATAATCGCAAATCCCGTACCATGCTATATAATAAATAAGAGTTTCAGAACTAGGGTGATAAAAAATATTGAATAACTTAAAATTGTAGGTTTCTGTCTTACCGACTGACATTACCTTCAAGTTTCGTGCTGTTTCTAGATTTAATAAGATCGACATAAGCTTCGACTTCCTTGTGGTTCACGACTTCGTGGTCTCTGACAGGGTAGACAATTTCTTTGGTTTTTTTATTCACAATGTTGCCATAAGGTCTTGGAATGTCAGAATCCATTCTGTATGTCATGGTCCAATTATAAAACCCATCCGGAACATAGTTATTGTCTAATCTCCAATTCGCAGGAGATTCCATGTTTACAAATATGTATCGCTGTCGAGATGATCTCGAGATTGGTATATCGGATACGTTCAATTCTATCCCGTGGAAAAGTATTGCGTCGTAGTCTTCAAGTTTCTCGAGAAAGTCGCGCTCGTGCGTACCGTAACAAGTAGGCACTGCACAATTGCGAAATATTTTACCCTCGCCGAAATAGAAGTTTTTGTCGTAAAACATTTTGGTCCAGTACAATATCGTCTTTATCTTTTCCGTATCGTTCGCGTAAGTGGACTTACGGCGAATCATTATATCCACGTCTACGTCCAAATAAAAAATACATGGTAGGAGGACAATAATTAAAACTAAAAAAACTCCACATATCTTAACGACTATCGTACGTGGTATGTAGAACACCGCTAATATATGAGTATAAAGTATCGACATTGCTAGCTCAGCGTTTCGAGATAAACTGAAATCTGTTCTAGAAAACGAAAATTGAATCTCGCCATATATGCCAAGTGATACTAATTTTCGTTCGGTTAAATGATAACGGGTTGTGTCTATGACAAGTGCCGGATTTCTATGTCGCTGTCAATTTGGAGTCTGGTGTAAATTTGTATAGTTTATTAGTACGCTGAAATGTGTATAAATGTCACGCGCGTAATATCTGTACTATATAGATTTAACATGTGGTTTATGCATTATTATGAAAATATTATTATGTGGTATTACAAAAATGTTGTATTAGTCTGCTAGTGAATGAGGGAGGTTTTGGCCATGCTACTGTAACTGGCTACAGCAAAGCCTTTTTTCATAACGGCTATTCATAGTCTAGGTATACGTCGATATATTTAACATAAATTTGTATTTTATATGCAATCCATTTTGGTAGCTTTGAACCCACGTTACCTGCTTACAACTCAATGAGCGCGCAATTTGCCACGAATGCAATTTTACTAAAAGTTCATATTACGGACAGGTAAACGTTGGCCTCGCTTGAAAATCAAACAGTTATTTTGATCGGACTACTACGTGTACTATTCACATTTCTGAATTTTCATTAATCATTAATTTCGAAAATTTTAATAAACGGGCATAAATTATTGCAGTTTGTTAAAAACGAAAACTAACAACAGTATAATATAATTAATAAAATAACCGTGATGATCTATATATAAAAATTTAACTTTTTAAATATATTAATTATATGATATTATTATCAAGCTGTAGTTTATTGTAAATTTATATTTAAATTTAAAAAAATCTTGGCCCATATTTTCATATCTGTCCTCTTGTTTCACATGAGTGTTTATTAATTCGCACACTACCGTCGTCGTTACATATATTAACGAAATTTCTCAGCAGCAAAGTTTTAAGTATTTGACAAAGTTCAATGCAATCAGGTAATAAACACCTGCTCGAAGTTGAGTGTAATCAATGTAATCAAAGTATGCCAATACTTTGCATGAGACAGTTTTTACTTTGCCTTAGTGGTTGCGAAAAGTCGAAACGTTTCACTCTTGGGGTCGGATTTTCCTCGAATTTAGCTTATTTCCTCCATTTTTCATCTTTCTCATCTTTTCCACTGAAATTTGATCCTCGATAAGATACGTCTCTTCGCGGTAGCGAAGAAATACGTCACAGAGGGGCGAGTATAAAGAGTTCGCGTTCATCTGAATGCCCGAATTCAGCGCCATTGTCGTGGCTATCGAGAAAATGAGGTTAATTAATCAATTTACAAGTAAAATCACTTAGGGCTGTGTCGCTTTTGTAAAGGGTTCTTCTGCCCCTGAAGTGGTATATTGTTATGGTAGAATGAGTAATTTGACGACTTTATTTTTAATATTATATTATTAAAGAATAACAATTAGCTGGAAGTAAATGTCGCAACTTTCAATTTTCTTAATTATTTTTTTAATTATTCAATCCCTTCCCTATCACCAACCACCACTGTCCACCATGGCTCTCTCATTCCCATGTTCTGTGTATTCGTAGGATTAATGACAGACGCCACGTAACTACGAATGAACCACAGTCTAATTTATGACTGGGTTCCAATCGCATGAGTGGTCGTTGCTGCAGGTGAAGCTTAAGAGTGCAGCTCACGTATTGCGGTCTATTAGTTAATTACCTGACGCAACGCTGTTTATTGTGATACGATATGCGTATACCGCCCTAAGCCTGTGCATGGTATGTACTGCATAACAAATTTAGGCAAACAAACAGAATAGAACAAACACGGTATAGAACTTTACTAGAAATTTCATTTTGAAATCCTACGGCCTGCCGATATCTTAGCTAGTTAAGTATAGGTGTAGTAAGGACCTGGTTCGACCTCCTAGAGTTCCAGAAAAACGTAGCTGCTAAGGTAAGGTGCGTTGTGCATTCATTTTATTGAGATTAGCGAATAATTTTTAACGCACCTGGAGATTCAGAATGAAAATCAAGTGTCGACTTTACACCTTACGGTAAGTTCTCATTGATGCGTGGTTATGTAATACTATTTCTTTGGTAATTGTCCTTTTCAATGAAATTTCACTATAGTCTATTTTCTCCTTGCCTTTTTAGCCATTTATGCAGTATGAAAAGGGTTAAATCCTGAATTTCTACAATTTTCAAGAAAAAGGTCCAAATCCTTTGCATAGTTTCGTTTACTTCATCCAGTCGTACCTCGGGCTTCTTTCTAAGGCGATTTCTGTCCTAAGCCAAAACTACACAGCCCAGGCTTATCTTGGGTCTACTCAATGCTTAATGACGATTACTGTCATTATTCCTTAAGTCTTGGGAAATTTATCGCAGCCTCATTTCGGGCGACGATCCTCGCAATTCCGGCACGCAATAGCTACGTAAAGCACGCCGCAGCGGAGAACAGAAAGTAATTAGGAAAATAACGTCACAGCGTAATAAGCAAACGAGAGAGAGAGAGAGAGAGAGAGAGAGAGAGAGAGAGAGAGAGAGAGAGAGAGAGAGAGAGAGAGAGAGGGAGGGGAATGCTAAAGATATTAAGAGAGTCGCGAGAGATCGTTTGAGAGAGAAAGAGATGGAGAGAATATCGGTGAGACACTAAGCGTTGGCAGAAGAGACGATGAGAAACTCACCCTTAGAGAAATAACGTCTTTCACGGCACTTCCACCCAGGGTACAGTTAAGCAATTTGGATAACGCGTAATTTCGCCGTTTATTGGTGGCATTACTGCCGGATTAAGATGTCGCATTGTATATGGATCGGATCGAACCATCAGATATCAAGGCGGAGGTTAAGTGACGTCAGGCAGACGCGACGCTTCGTATTAGACGTTCAAGGCCATGACGCTATTATGTATCTATTGTCCTCTGATCGATTTTCCACCTTTTCGAAAACTTCTTAACTTTGTCTATCCATCTATCTATACTGATGAGTGCATTGCGAATACAGTGTCATAGTTATATAATGGAGATTCTGCACCTTTAAAAGAAAAAGTATATAATACAATTTTATCGTATATTTATAGGAACACATTATAGGAATTTACGAAATTTAATTCAACGTACTGTAGTTAGGAGGAATTTTGGAAAATTCCAATAATGATTTCGCCTAGTGAGACTATACTTATATCTAGTTAATTTCTTTTTTTTTTTGAAAAATGGTTCAACGTCTTGTTCATGATGTGCCGTGTAAAAGAGATACAGAATTATATTAAACCAGTCCTTTGAGTGGACTCGGTTTTTATTACAGTCCTAAGGAGAACGATATAACGTAATTACTGTGTGACATAATTACATCTTTCACGGTAGAAAAAGTTTATTTTCTAAGAGCAATTTATGTTTTTCAACTCGATAATAATGTCCAATTAACTTGTCAGCGGTGCGGTTGTAGGGATGGGTATTAATTCGATGAAAGGAATTGAGTAATAGAAAAGTTCTAAGTAACGGGTAATTGTACTTGGTTAGAAAATTTTGGATCCCATAATTGCGAGTGCTAATTAGATTGAGGAAACGAATCGTTATTCGACGTCGCACGTGAATGTCCTCGAGTGAATTCCCCAATGTACTTCATTTTCAAATTATAACTTTCAGCAAAGTACATCTGGCTTTTAGTATGTGTATTTCGTACAGTTCTTTCGCCGGACGAATCTCGATGATGATATTTCGTCGGGATCAAAGTCAATTGGCTTAAGGCAGTTTCAACAGTAATTTTATACCGTGGAAGTAGTATTTTTGTAATGAGTAAAATTATCAGATGCAAAAGTAAGAAATTATCGTTGAAATGAAACTTGGTAACTATACGTATTACAAGCGACATATATGGTATAATAAAAATTAACGTGGACGTTTGAAATATAGCTGACACAGGTGAGTTTAAAATGTCCAAATTTAAAATGAAGGGATTCTATTAAGTCGATTCGACCTCGTGGTATCGATTTTTCTTAAATATATATCAAACCGTTTTATACCAGCGAAAAATGACGAAGAAGAACGATTACCGACTTGAAACGTGACTGGAATACTAAATCACGAGTAAGTAAACTCTTATATAAGACATCGTCTTCGTGCAGGAATGAATATTGCGTTTTTCATCTCAAGAAGTCAACAGGATTTATAAAAATGTCTCAATATATTGAACGGTATACTAAGGAAAAAAAAGAGTAGAGTAAATATATAAAAAATTTTTGGAAATCTTAATTCTGGCTGAAAATTTAAATTGAAAATACCAAAGAACGAACCCTTCGTCGTGTTTACTAAAAGTACTATTCCCCCCTATGAATATTTATAACAGTAGGATATACGAGGGGATATTCACTTTTATTTATCCACCTTATGGTCTTTAAATATATTTTATGTTCCAGTATGGCAACCTTTCTGTATGCCTGTATATTATATATGTATATACAATATCTATATGTATATATATATATATATATATATATATATATTGCATCCATTGTTGTCTGCACAATGTGCTCTCTCACATCGATAGTACATTTATCCAGTCGAGTAAATGCTCGAGCACGATTCTCATTTGTTCGTTCACCAGGAGTCGAGATTTCAATCGATCCGTATTCCATTGCACTTCAACTTCAAGAGAGAAGCTATATACTTGTCATGATAAACAGACCTTGCCATTTCAAAATATCAAAAATGCTGATACGAGTATTGAATTTGTGTAAATGGTCCAAAAAGAAACGACAGACGGTGAAAAAATTTTAATATTTCCGTTGGGTTTAGTTCCACAAGCTTCAAGCTTGAATTGAAGCCGCAAGAGAGACCATTAAAATGTTAGTACGTGAGAGGGAGTGAACAAAAATTTTCTGAGAAGCTTGCATTTTTGTATCTCGAATTAGGGTACTGTTAATGGGTGTTAAACGAGTATAAAATTTTCTTGTAAGTCGTGCAAAAGATCCTGGACACATACACGTGATCGTAAATATATTTTTAACGAGATCTTGAGTTTAGGGTCCGGAGTGGGGGGAGGACAATTCTTAATTTTTTCTTAAAATATTTATCTAAATAAAACGAAGAAGAAAAGGGATGGTAGTGCTCGTTGTACACAAGAAAGTTTAGCGGAGTCGATCCAGGATTAATACCGCGAAAAGCCGTTTCCCGAATAATCGAGCTCCTAACTTCTTACGAGAGACTCATTCGAAACTCACCCCGAGAAGCCCTCAGAAATTATTGAACCAGCTCAGTTCGCCTTTGCGTTTCAACCCCCCGATACGAGAGACCGTTCGCGCCGGATCCGAGGCTCGTATTAACATAAAGTGGATTCAATATCTACGGTAAGAACTTAATTTAAATCCCCAGAATATTTTAAGGGATGAAATATCGGATTACCCCGCCGTAGTGGTATATAGATAACACTATAGCAAATCCGAGGAAGATTGGAATGGATTTAAATCGAGTTATTTCCTTAGGTCAGTGTCTGACAATTGGGTTTGTTCTACGAACGATCCCCTTGATTAATCCTCTTAAAAAAAACATCACGTATATATTCCATAATACTGTCCCAACGAACCCGTAAGTTTCTAATTTGCCTTTTCTACTATTTATTTAACTCATCATATTTTTACATCGTTTGAAATAATTAAATTTTTCTTTTTTTTTGAAAATAATCAATTAATCACTCATCGATTACTATAGGCACATTAATATTTTTTTCCAACAGTCGCAAGTTTGGATGAAATTAATAACTAATTCCGTTTGTCGTTAAACCGCGACACACACCTACAATAATTAAATAGCATATGAATTTCATGCATGCACAGTTGGCTGCAGTGTCTATTCGCGAATAATTACAGCCACATACTGCAACCTGTACATCGTTATAAATTCCATACTAGCATTCTGTCACTCAAGATTTTCCCGCATGCCAGGAGCACCTCGTCCATGTCGAATATATAAGAGCGGCATGATTTTGAGGATAAATCAGCGGATGCATCGAAAATTTCGTCATTTAAAAAAAAACAAGATCTCACTTTTATTATTTAAATATTTCACATATAACATTAATACAATGCTCATATATTATTTTGGTTCGAACCCGCTTAATTCATAGGAACCGGAGAACCGCATCGTGTACAATATAGATTACGATGCTTAAGTACAAATGAACGTTAACCGCAGTATAGTTAGATTAGGTTGCCCGCAGTATAGTACGATAAGTATACATAACCGATACTCTCAGATAACTATCTGTCCAAGCACTTCGAGATGGCAGTACTGCCTCTAGAGTATTTTGTGAAAATAAAAGGAATATAGAAATATTAATATATTATAGTATTAATTAAGTATATTAAATATTAATAAAGTCATGAAATTTCAAAATTCATCTTTTAACGAAAACTGTATAACATTTATTTTGTTGCCTAATATTGTTATTTTTGTTCGTCCCTCTTCAAATAATAATTTGAAACTTACTTGTCTTAAGTGTGTCTTATATTTGAGATCTTGCCTGAGCCTTGGCTCCAATTAATATTTTAAGGGGAAAAATTCATTACTGCTATAAAGTATCGGTTACAAAGGAAAAAATATGTTGGGGATTATAAAAAATTAAAAAAATATCTTTTTCATGAAAAGTTCGTAATTTTTTCTGAAATTTCTCCCGAAGCTTGGCACCATTTCACTTTTTTTACGATTTGGCTCGATGAATAAGTTTAGATTGGCTCTCGGATGCGATTCGAATGTTTCCGCCACAAGACGCCGTCGGCATAGTGCGCTTTAAACACCTCTTGAAAAAAAAAGAAAAAAAAGTAATCGAACCTTCGTCTTGGCATTCGAAATCATCGTTATTCTCTTTGAAGTTCATGCTGTACCTTATTCGCAACAATCTAGTTCACTTTAGACATACGTAACTTGTAACGAATTATTTGTTTAATTACTTTAAGTGAACGTGACTTGTTACAATCTGTCATTTTTTTCTGCATACTATTTATTCGCATATTGTCTTTGATGTCGTTTAATATTCTACACGGAAATTTATGCTGTCCTGTATACTTTAATCGAAACAGCATAAAATTTTCTTTATAGGAAAGCACCCATAATATGCATTTTATATTTTATCGTTTTAATAAAAATTCCTTTGGTTTTTTATTGCTTCCTGCAACAGTGATGCATCAAGGAATTTGTTACTTTCCGTTGCAGTGATTTTTCTAGTGAGCTATCAAAGTTTAATCTCTAGTGGAAATTTCATTTTGAAAGCCGCCGTCTGAGTTGGGACTTGGCTGGATCTGTACAGTTCTTGTGGGGACTTACTAGGAGGGACTTGGATTTAAGCAAAAAATGTCTGCTACGAAAAGTCTGATATTATTCTTTGCGCGCTTGCCAAGTGCTTCACCATGACGGGAAAAGATCCCAAGGATCTTGAGGTGGCTGAACTTTCATAGTATACACGTGAAGTCGAGCGTGGGAAGTTTCTCAATATGGGTATAGAGTGGATACGCGGAGACTGTAAATGACCTTGGTGTATAAAAAAAAAAGAAAGGTTGCTACTTAAAAAGCTAGATGGATCCGAACGTGAGAGAAAGAGTGAAAAGCTGTCAGAAGTCATTTAGCGACATGAAGTAAGTCTGCGTTATCGGTAAATATAAAAATATACATACATTATGTGGATTGACGTTAAAAAAAAATCCAATCAGTCAAGACACAAATACATTTAAGTACTTTGGTGGCTGCAGCTTTAAAGGTAATATACATGCCTGTCATACTTTATTCTTCCACGCTTTGCCCTTATTCTTTTACGTCAAAGTATATTCGCAAAACACCGCGAAGTCCAGCTGATCAATAATGCGCCTGAAAATAGAAGACAAAAAATCAGGCAATATTTTTGCAAGTAAATTAAACAAGCATGTACTATAACCGTTACTGAGTGATAGATGTGAAACAGCAAAGAAAACTAATTCCTATCCGCAAAAAAGCAGTTGCGAAATCGCGAGTCAGAAGGACAATTTCCATCAAGAGATTCATCGTCCGACGCCACTGGGAATAACAGCAAAAGAAGACAATTTTAAGGTACAACACGCTCTTGTCTAATTGTGATGTTCTTTCCAGTGGCGTAGAGCGAGCAATTTTCCAAGTGGAAGAATCAGGTCACAGCTATAGGATACGGCGAATGTAGACCAGTAATAAAACGTATCACGAGTATCAAAAGAGACGCAGCCATGTGTTTCACCAATGTGCAATTGGTATATAAAGAACAATATTACATTATAGATAGGTATGTACAAGACAAGTGAGACATGTATGAGATTCAAAGCGATTTCTATTGTTAGAACTGAAGTAAAAGTTGAATGAGGAAGCAAAACCAGTTTGTAACTGATCTCCGTTGCCTGAAGAATCACCAAGATAGAGCATAGATCCTTGATATGGGAATACGGGAAGGTGCATACCTATGTTTAGGAATCTCGCGAGCGTTGACAGGTGGGGCGCCGCCGCGCGTCTATTGATTGGCGCCCAGCATCCCCTCGGCGTCCTCCATCTCTCCGTATTCACATCGATTCCTCTCTCTCGCACTCCCTCTCAGACTCGCATCTCCGTGCTGGTCTCCACTGGTCTCTTCCCATTTCATCTTTCTCCTCCCTTTTCTTCGCTCCGCTCTCTCCCTTCGTCTCACTGGACCCGCTTGTTCTCTTTTGGAATTTTCTCCTTCGGCATTTTCTCATCTCTCACCTTTCTTCTCTATCCCTGCTCAACAGTTCTTCCTGACTCTTCTCTCGCTTGCCAGCTACCATTTATACTCTCTACTCGTTTTCTGTACCTTCATGCGAACCCTCACTACATTCCACGTACAACGCTAGCCACCTACTACAAACCCTCCCCCTCCTGCCTCCCACGTTCTTTCGGTTCAGCCATGAGAGCTAGCTCTCCCTCGTCTCCATCCCTTATCATCACGTCGTCTTGTCCCACTCTCTCGTCACCCTTTCTGCCCTTTTCATTCCCTTGGAATCCCAGCATCCACAGGCCACCGTCAGCCAATCCTCACTAACCACCACTACCCTCACCGCACTACGCTTCTATCTCCCTTTTGCTTTACACATGTGATTACCCCTTTTGATCCGCACAAGTTGTTTGCACATTGGTTTAATGAGAAATAAAAAGGAACGTGAAGAGGAAAAAATGTGAAAAAGCAAAATTCTTGTGCTTAAAAAAAAGAGGGAGAATTAACGCATTATACCACACAAACTTGTCCTCATCGTGCACTTACCGTCATTTTTCTTTACTTTCTTTTATCTTTTCAATTTCTCCCCTTCCACTTTGTCCCGCTTCGTCGCGCCCTCAACGATATTCATTCACCGAATCCTCTTTTTCAACTTTGACTCTCCATGTACGCTGCTCTTACCTCGTGCTGGTCCTGTTGCCAGAGATCCGGATGCACCGGATATGCATATCCAGCCCGACGCTGGGTGCTCGTCTGTCACGGCCACTCGCTTTTCCGAGATAGGCGTATCTACGTTTTTGATGTAGGGATGATCCAGGGCGTGCAATGGGGTGCATAACAGGGTTTTACTAGGCCTGAAAACATATTCCTTCGTGTACGGCATATCTGCCCTAGTACACCAAGTATGCCACGGGCTGTATATGAGCAAAATGTATAGGGTCTATGGTAGCTTGGTGACTTTCAAATCGAGCCAATCAAAATCGACTCGTATGGGTTTCGGCGTCGAGTACAGTTTGCCGAGCGTGTGATAGCGTTACGTGACTCCCCAATGGAAATAATATGTTTGGATAACTAGGATATGCGTAACGTTGTGCGTGGGTGGTTGAAGCGGGCTTTGCCACGCAGAGTCGAATGTCTGTTACTGCGGATTTGGTTGACAGAGATATGGATGAAATGGAAAGGATGATATATATATATATATATATATATATATATAGAGAGAGAGAGAGAGAGAGAGAGGGAGAGAATAACCAGAAGTCACTGAAATTACTCAGCCAGATATCGACGTTGTTCATCGACGGCAACGTAATCGTAATGCTTGACTGTTTATTTTTATTAATCGCCCAGTGAGGTACCCATACGCGCATTGCCTTTGGGAAATAATATAATTTTTTTATACCTTCTCTTTTTCTCTGTCTATCCTTTCCAAATCCCTGCAGGATACTGGGTCATGATAAATCGCGACTGGTTTTAAGTGCACGTAAAACACGGCGGTATCCACTGTTCTAAAGAAATTTTAATCCAGAAAATTAGTAAAAATAATAATTTAATACCACCGGCCGACGTTGCATTCTACTCTAACGTACTTACTCGCCTCGTCCTGCTTCTCTGCGAAATCCTCGATAAATCATGATTACGCTTTTCGTTTTTTTTATTCCTGGTATTTTTATACAGCGATTTTTTTCGGCCTGCGTATATCTTCGTATGTACAGAGCGAGGAGGAAGAGAAACGGATATCTGAATGTTACTTTGTTAAAAAACTTCGGAATGGGGAAGAGAATAACGTATCTACATAAAATGAAATAAAAACAGTACGTTTACTCTCCTGCATGATATCGTCTAATCGGCCAAAAGAGTTCCGATGTCGCAGGAAAGTCTGACTGCGTGTTTCATAGATATACTGCATACATGGGATACGTAATACATACATATTTTGTTACTAGGCGATGCTCCTACAGCAAATATATTTTCTAAATTACGTACCCATATATATACAGACGTTATTGTTCGATCAGATTGCGAAAAATATTCAAGAAAGAATAATTGACCTAAAGCATTTACACGGATTAATTAATTACAGTGAAAAAACAATTTTCCTTCACATAAAAGTAAAAACTTTATCGAGCGAAAGGATCGATCTTTTTCTTTTGACTTTCATTCACACCTTTATTTTTCTAATCAAATAAGGAAATTCATCTCATAAAAACTGAAGTTAATTGTAGTACCTGATTTTTAAGGAATCAAACTCTCATAAATTGCATAAAATATATAATAAGTATACCTAAGTCAGTAAGGTTCGATTCCATTAACATTGCTTATTGCGTACCTTCGGTATATCTGCAAACTGCAAGTAGTCAATTAGCTAATGCCATAATTAATGTAAATTCAAATATTAAACAGTATCGGGGAAATCGAGTGTGACTGATTTCAAATTATGTTAAAATAACGTTCAGTATGACAAAACGAACATTTACTATGTATTATGCCATGAAGTTTATATTGGGAACATATAATCGCTAATTACTCTAGAACAAAATATAATTACATGAGTTTTCTAATAGTCTCTATTAATGGCGTGCGGTTATCTAGAACTAATATTAAGTTTCCGGAAACTATTTCAATTTCCTAACGATACTTTTTAGATGGATAATTATACAGGGTGTACCACAATTCTTGCATTTCCAGGTTATGGCCGTGTTAATTGTTGGGTGAACCTGTGTAGTTATTCTACAAAATTAATTTCTCTCGTCTTCATGTATGAAGTTATGAATATGATTTTCGTCAAGCCATACAACTATTTCCACCTCTAATTATGAACATGTTTTGATTTCTTAACCATGTATGTATATCAGGTACTTAGGCAACCATAATAGATATATGTTCAACGTTACTACGACGCACATAAATTTCATTACGAAATCTGCAAACGATGCAAACGTCGACGTTTAATCGGGTCATATATCCCGGTAGCTACGACGAATGGCTTTATTACGATCCTTTAGAATCTTATTAATCTTCTGTCTATTTATTTGCTTTCAGGTGCAATTTTCGAGCAGGGTACGGATGAAGTTCAATCCGCATTCAAATTTGCAATGTTCAACCACAACCAGAACACTACGGGTCGTCGGTTCGAACTGCAAGCCTTTGTTGACGTGATAAATACTGCTGATGCCTTCAAGCTCTCTCGCCTCAGTAAGTTTGAACTTTCTAAAATGTAAATGAAAATGGGAATATACGCATACGTATATGAGTATGTGAGTATATGAGTATACATATTATATTTGATCAAAATATTCTGTCTCTGAAGAACCATGGAACGCTGGACAATTATTCCTCTCTAGTAAATATGTGGATTCATTTTATTACACATGGAACAGTTTTAGAAATTTATTTTATAATTTTATGCTGTTTCATATAACAATGCTACATTAATGGAGTTGAGAGACAAATTCTTTTTGCAAGTCAAGCAACACGAAAATTCATTCATTAAACATCTTTTTGGTCATTTTTATTCTCTAAACGTATAAGGCAGATCAAGCATAACAACAAATATATATTGAGTACCATTTTTTCCTAGAACCTCCCTTTCGGCAGTGCCCTTACCAATACATTCTTAATTTTCTCATATGTACAAGTAATTATTTCATCGTAGTCTCAACTACAGCGTCCATGTATGGATACGTTATTATATAATATATCAAACACAGATTTTGGATATCTATACATACACGTATAATATGTATTTTAACATGGAATTTCGGGTCAGTCAGAAAAATACGTTGTAATAGGCAACTTTAATCCACAGCATGGAGCCTGACAGATTAGGGAGCATTTCTGAAAAGGGTTGGACTGATTTCTTTTAAAGAATTCTCATTTATTTTCTTCGTGAGAATTTTTTGTATTTATTTAAAATTAATCGAAAAGTAGTTTTCAAAATTAGAACGGATCCCAAAATCCCACTACGAGGCGATTCGGATGCTGAAAGTAGTAAGACTGGGAACCGGACCGCAGCACAAGACTCAAGACTTTACTGCAATCTCTGAAACATCTATTGAAAAGGAACTATCACGCTAGGTACAAGGAGAATGTGCGACGGTCGAAGAAAAATCAGCGGGCTAGATAGAGCACGGATTCGATTAGGCGATCGTGGAAAAACAATTGAAAGCGTCTAGTGGAACGTCGTTTCGACTTTCGGAACCACATAGCGTCACTTACGGCGCAACGTAGTTAAGGATAGACGACTACGTTACAATTTGGAAACGAAAACAATAACATTCTGGATGATTGAATTTAGTTTTTCTTCCTTATGTACATACTTTCTTCTCTTTTGGAATAGTAGCAGGGTAGGTTTTCCACTCACTGTTTGACAGCATCTATTTCATGTATGTTGACCAGTCGACCTTTTAAAGTCTTTGAGTGATTGAGTCCTCTTTGTCTAAATTCACGAGAAGAAAAACTAGTTTGAAATAAAAAAAGGTAAAAGAAAACCGAAGACTTCGTAGGGACGTACAAGATTAAGTTCGGTTGGTCAAACTTCAAATCACCGTCCATCTCGGACCCTTTGGCTACATGTAAAAGAGGATAGTTATATAATATTCACATTCCTCACTTTTTCTTTTTAAAATTTCACTTTTATAAAAAAGGACGATCGTATTCGTGTTAAACCTTTCTTCTGAATAGGAGTAGTCAGAATTTCATATTTCTGGATTGGGCGAACCAAAAATCTTTAAATCAATCTACGTACTCAAAATTCATCTCGGCGTTCCAAAAACCCCTTAACCCCCCTTAAGTTATTTACATTTCGAAACTTCAAATGTTATCATGTTGCTCTCGTGAAACTTGTCCAAGTGCCATGAAGATTATCTAACTATTAAACCATTTTATTATACCTATACCTATATCTCTATATCTTAGTTGAAAGAGACATTAGGCTCCTATCGCTGAGCTAGTCTGATGAGAATTTGGGAGGACTCCAAGAGCGTGGAACTCGTGTGCGTTATAGTATTTAGTAAAGCTGCACTAATTGTATTAATGCTAGCCGGTTTGCCGAGATCAAGGCCTCTGTTATAATCCTGTGCCAAGCCGTGGACCACGCCAAATCTATTATGACCGCTTGAGATACACTAAGCATTAATGTTTGCCCACGAAGACTTTGGTATTGGCAAACAAAACAGAGTAAAGCCAAACACTTGTTTAATATGCAGTTATCGCATTAGCGCATCGTCCTCATGCGTGATCGCTGGCACTCCAGCCTCACGCTGTTCAAAAAGGATTTCCATTGGGACGATGAGCTGCTCAAACGGACTTGAGGATTATAGGAAAGGGATACTACTCCTACGAATAAAATTATTCAATTTTTATAATTAAAATCGAAACGCAACAATATATAGGGTGAATTATATTTTTAGAATCTATTTTTTTTTGTCGAAACTTCAACGTAACGTAGAAAAGTTAATTTTATCTTTTTACAAAAGACTTAATACTCGTGTGACGTGATCATCATTTACATTGTCTGGTTGGAAAGTTTTCACGGATAGTGGTAATTATTCATGTACACTCGAGTAGTCCGTGATCTAACACAATGTAAATTAACGTGTATGCTTATCTGATATCGCGCCAAATGACTTATTAAGCAATCGATCACAATGACGATATACCAAAGTGCTAAAATCGTGATCCAAGCAATGTTAAGAGTGACACTCATTGATTGATCGGCATATCCAACATACATTACTGGTATCACAAACGAATTACCGAATTAATGTCTATTTATTTTGTACCAAATTGCCAATTTGAATATCGATCGTAATTCTATTCGTTCGCATTACACTGAAGTTTACCGTCAAATTCGATTATAGTTGGTGGTCGATTACGAATTAATCAGCGATCCACGATGCACCGGGTGGTCACTACATACCAGTTCTAGTTCCTCGTCATACTACATTTCGTGTGTGACAAATATACGTAGTAAAGACAGTTGAGTCGCATGAGCATTTAGAAATTCTTCCATAGCTCTTGAGTAAAAAAAGGATCGATATATCCAATAATCATCAAGCACTAATAAAATCGTGTCATCACGTTATCAGTGACCCGTGTCTCGGTTATGGTCACTTGTTTCCAAAGAGAGATCACAGCTGTAAGCAACAAGACAGAGAATTCTTATCGAGTTAGTTCACGAAGGTATATCAAATGAGTATATCATCTAGTAGAAAGGGTATCGTAAACTCTTGGAATAGTTACCTGGCAAAATACATAAAATTTAATACCGAACCTTTTCGACTTGGCGAGTTAGTGCCTGAACGGTAGACCGTGCAAAAGAAGTCAAAAGATGCCACCTTCCCTGGTAGTGAGCTATAGGCTATCCGAAGGCTCAGGAGGCCGATCGATCGGATTTGCAGGCGTGGTTGACCATAGCCGCTGTTAGAATTCCGAAAGAAACGCGTCCAGAGAGTCTAGGAGTTACAGGTGGTGCTAGCTGTGGTCTCATCCTGAGAATCGAACTGGGCCAAATCGTTCCCATCGCTGTATAGTATATAGATAGATAGGGAAAAGCCCATTCCTAACGTATCCCGAACAAGAAAGAATCTGACCAGTCTCCTTGGCCGGACCCCTTGAAGGTGTCAGCATCTTAGCGCAACATAATAGCTATCTATCATCTTTCACTGCATATCGTATAATATCCTGGTAGGATCCTTTGCCTCTGGTATACCCTGGCTAGGGGTTGAATGTATATGGGAAGAGCGTTGCCAGCCAGGGGTGGCATAAATCTGCTGAGGGCTCCCCGAGGTATTCCCCTTTCTTCCAGGCCGTCTTCCTCTCCCTGCCTTACCCTTCCCAAGTCGCCTTTCTCATCCCCTTCTTTCTCCTCATCCAACTCCCCTCCCCCCTCCCCACACTCACACCTCTCGCCACGCTACGGCAAAGCAGACGCGAGATGAATCCCAAGGTTCAATTCCCGTCGGTTTATCCGATGCCTGAAGGTACGAGGCCGCATTAGGGCAGAAGAGGCGGGAGGCTACGCCAATGGGAAAAGATAGAGTTCTTTTATATTACGCAAGATAATTACATATTGACTATATCGACTTTATTGACTTCCGAATATCACGCTGAATTCAACGTATACCCACGGCTCGGAGACCGCGTCCCCTCACCGTGAGAGGATCCGTTGCCGAATGTAAATGATACGTAGGATTCGAATCTGGAATTTTTTCCCTGTAAACCCAATGAAAAACGCTCTTCGTTGGCATCGCGATGAAAATGCGACCGACGTTAATGAGCACTTTGTGCGTTTGCCAGAGGGAAGTTTCTGTGTATACAACAAGAGCGGTTGATAAATGCCCCATTAAATTCTCTTTACCTTTTATTTTGATGGCGGTAGCTATTCGCCAAGGCTGCCTAAGGTATTAGTACGTACAACAACAAAGCCCTATATGTATTATAATTCTCTAGCTAAACTCATAAGGTTCGATCTGATCAGAGTTTCCGGCACCCTCGCACGGCTCGTCCCTTAACGCGAGAAGTGCAAGAGATACAGCCGCAGGCGGGGAATTTATTTACAGAAGTCTCGTAACAACATTATAGAAGATTCGAAGGAAACTCGAGAAGTACTATTTGTTCTACTCGGGACGAGCACCGTGCTAGCAACACGTCATTTCCGATTGTCATTTCTCATCCCGCGTTCAAGTCCGTTCTTACCCTTCTGCCCAAATCGTGGCTCTCCTTCAATATTAACACCGGGAAACACTCTCTGTCTTTGTCATTCGCTAAGTTCCTTTCAAGTTATATACACTTCCCGCTCTATAGCTATACTCGGGCTCGACTCGTATCATCCATTTGTCGAGGACATAAAGGCATTATGTTTTCGATTTAAAACTTTTGAATTAGATTGCAAGGACGGGAGGTCTTAGGACGACGCGGTATTTAAAACTTTTGAATTGACTTTCGCCAGACGGTGGGTCAAGATTTCTATTCGTCGCCTGATTTTATTTACGATAGCGTCATCCTGATAAAGAAAATAAACAAGGATTTGACAAGTGTTGTATGATGTGTACTTTGTACGATTGACGTATTAGATGTACAAATTAATTCTCGGCCCTTTTTTGCATAATTTTGATGTTTGTTTACAAAAAGGAAAAATCGAACAATTATCCAACCTTAAAAACAATCCCCACTACATTCTGCCATATATATTT